ATGTGCGTTCACACTTCTGTTTCAGCTCTCTGTGCCAAAAAGGTCCACCAGCAGTGTTCTAGTCCTACCTTCAGGTGCTCTGGAGAAAAATACTCCATGGATTATGCTCCTGTTTGTGCCACATGACATAATATTTTAACTGATTATATTATTTGATTGCAAAGAGACCTGCACTTGGGATGGCTGAAGCTGTCATGCTAGCTAGGATATTCTGTGCAGTAGCAAAACACATAATTTGCAAAATTCTCAGTCATCCAGGTTGTGATTGTCTCAAAGGTGCAATTGGACTTTCTGCCTTTTCAGAGCTGAAGAAGCTTCTTGGATGAGAAGTAAAACATCTTCAAAGAAAATCCAGTTGCTTCTTGAAAAAAAGCACTTCTGGGATTAATTTGCAATTCCTATCACTGAACCATTTTAATGAAGATGTATCAAACATTCTGCTCCAAGTAGGTTTTAAGTAAGAAAAAAATTAAACAAATTGAAATAAATTTTTAAAAATCAGCCTTAGAACATTTTTTCTTTGCACTGCTAAAAGTCTCTTTGTTGTTGTTGTTTCTGGGCAGAAAATACAAATGATCGTTTGCTGCAAAGCTTCATTCAATTTCTTAGAATTTGATGCGCTTTATAAAGAGACTTATTTTGTCTTTGGTTTCTAACTAAAAAAAATACTGTTCGTAGGCACAAATTGTTGGAAATTTCTCCTGTTCACATAGTCCTTGAGTTATGATTGTAATTGAGTCCCACAATTTCAGTCAAAAGTCATTACAGTCATAAAATAGATCATCATGTGATCAGACCCAATTTCATGATTTTGCAGCGATTGTTAAGCAAACACAGCATTCATAAAGCAAATATGGCAGTTGTAAAGAACTTTTAAAGTTGCCTTGTGGCAAGTTGGGTGGCAAATAAATGTAATCACAATAACAATAATAAGAACCCATTATTTACTCTTTTCTCAAGCTTCTACCTTGCAGCTCAAAACAATAGCTTCTGTTTCGAGTCCTGTGGCTACTTTGCAGCATAAATGTAGGATACAAATGTTTTCAATAACTCTAGTTATTTGGAGGCAACATTTGGCTCAGAAAGATTTTGAAACAGGCAGACATTCAGTGGTGGGATTCAAAAAAATTAATTACTGGTTCTGTGGGCGTGGCTTGGTGGGCGTGGCGTGGCTTGGTGAGCGTGGCAGAGGAAGAATACTGTAAAATCTCCATTCCCTCCCGATCAGCTGGTTCTTGGGAGGCAGAGAATAGATGGAGGCAGGGCCAGTCAGAGGTGATACTTACCAGTTCTCCAAACTACTCAAAATTTCTGCTACCAGTTCTCCAGAAATAGTCAGAACCTGCTGAATACCACCTCTGGACTATTTGTGCTTCAGCAAATTCAATCATTTTAGATCCAGCCATCCTACCTGAAAAGAAATAGATTATGGGTTTTTCCTGTGGGAGTATAGCAATCTTTGTCCTTTCTCATATATTGGAAATAGCTGCCTTGATTCGTTGCCATTGATAAGTCTATCCCTCAACAATTTCTTTTGCTTGCTTTTAAGGCCATTTGAATTAATAATAACCATTACAAGGCATACAATTCTACATTTTATGAAGATAGAACATTTTTTCCCCGTTTCCTGAATCTCTTTTTAATTACTTTCATGGGATGACTTGAAGTTCCATTATTAAAAAAGAGGGAGCATCTATCTATCTTCAAAAGAAATCTCTCTATGACATCTCAAGCCCCAAATAATATTACTGTCTCAATGAAGGAAAAGGAGCTTATGAAAAATACCGAATCCGTATATGGATATGATCTACAATGGCTATAGTGAACATCGGTGTTTAAAAGCAACTGCTATGGGGAGTTGTGGGGGTAAAATATTTTGCTGGGCAGGGTTTTCTGAAATTATCTTGCTGATATATTAGTGAAACCGGAATGTTGGCTAGACCATATCCTAAGCACAGTAATAGAAAAAAACAAGCATAAAACAAGTATTGAAGTTCAAGTATCTAGAAATGACTTTCACCAAAGATGGTAAAATGGACGAAGACATAAACATCCAATGTAGTAAGGCAAACCAAGATTCAGTCCTATCAGTGAGCGGATGATGTCAACCCAGTCTGGATGATACTTCCACCACTATGGAGAAAAGTGACATCACTGTTTTTCACAGTTACGCCCTTTGCTAGCATCCCCATGACCATGTGATCAAAATTCAGATGCTTGGCAATGGGTTCATACTTATGACTGTTGTAATATGTCCCCTTTTGCAACCTTTTGACAAGCAAAATCAATGGAGGCGTCAGATTCACTTAACAAATGTGTTACTAGTTTATCAACTGCAGTGATGCATTTAACAACTGTGGCAAGAAATGTCGTAAAATGGGGCAAAACTCTCTTAACCAATGTCTCACTTAACAACAGAATTTTGGACTCAATTGTGGTCGTAGGTCAAGGACTACCGGCATTGGGAAAACTAGCTCCACTCTTGCAAAGTAAAGCAGTACTTATCAACCCAAAGAAGAATCTCATACAAAGCATATTAATCCCCATCCTGTGTTACTAGTGCCAAACATGGAAACTTACTATAAAGATAATGAAATATTGGAGGAAAGCTGCTGGGGTGACTAGATGAAATAAAATCAGATATAAGACCATAAGAGAAAGAATTGGCATAGAATCAATCTTAAATGTTTATGGAGATTCTTAGTCATCCAGGTTGTCCCATATCATGGTTGTCCCAAAGGTATTTTTTCAAGAGGCAACTGGACTTTCTGTTTTTTCTTTGAAGACACTTCACTTCTCATCCAAGAAGCTTCTTCAGCTTTGACTGGATGGTGGGGAATGGAAAGATGTCTGCAATGAGTATAAATCCTTCATTCCCCATATTCCAGTCAGAACTAAAGAAGCTTCTTGGAAGAGAAATGAAACGCCTTCAAAGAAAAACCAGAAAGTCCAGTTGCCTCTTGAAAAAGCTCCTTTGGGACAACCAATCTTAAACTACACACAAAACCAGCAAATAAAATAGTTTGTTCACCTGGGGAGGATGTCTTGTGGTTCCATATTGCGCAAAGCATATACAAAAAGAGAACGTCAAAGATCATGAGGTCTGCCTCCAGAAGAAAATGATAAAACATCAAAGACATGCTACAAAATTGCCAGAAAAGCAAGAACCAGAACTTCGTATCTCCCTCAAAAACCAATGAAGTGAAAGAGGAAGTAAAGAAGAAGAAAATTCTACATTTAGGCAAGAAAAACGAAATGCACAGGTACAGTATAGGTGGTACCTCATTCAATAGTAGTAACTGTGAGAGGGATCTTGGAGTCCTGGTGGACAACCATTTAAATATGAACCAGCCATGTGCATCAGCTGCCAAAAAAGTCAACACAGTTTTAGGCTATATAAACAGGGATAGAATCAAGATCACGTGAAGTGTTAATACCACTTTATAATGCCTTGGTAAGGCCACACNTTGGATGGGTGAGCAAATACTTTTGGCAATATAGTGTATTTATAAATCATACTTGGTGGCTGAGTCCAGCCACTACAGCTTGTTGAACAGACTTTATGAAAGTAAACGGCTTTCATTATGTGGAAGCTTCTGTATAACTGTAAATGCCCAAATACAAATTTTACTGAAATCCACCAGTTAATAGGTTAGTAGTAATAAAGAAACAATTTCATTTCAAAGCATTGAAACATAAACTGTTGTACAGTAGATAAGTCATATAGTAGGTAGTAGGTATGTATAAATACTAGTTTACTCAGAAAAAAGCCTTTTATTCTTTTCTAAAGTGGACACACTTCCTATGACAAGAGCTGAAAAATGTCCAAAGAATTACATCAACAGATTGAAACAGTCCCATTGGTTATTTACCCACACTCTCCCCTGTTATGCCAATATGCTGCATTTTTTATTTAATTATGGTAACTAATTTTACACTGACATCTAGGTACCTCAATCAGCATATGCGGTTTTAAGGCCAAAACCTGTGCCTTCTTATAGCTTTCTTGTGGGCAATGCATTCACTCATTCAGGCACTGTGCTAGAACAGTGTTCAAAAGTGCATCTACAAGCTTCTGCGCACATCATAACATGCAATGATCCTGGCTCATAAAAGATACAACAAGCCAGGATGGTTCTTGGTAATATTAATTTCTGAAGTGGTGTAGGGTTTCCTGCCTAGGCAGGGGGTTGGACTAGAAGACCTCCAAGGTCCCTTCCATCTCTGTTATTCTATTCTAACCACCCACCGTGAGAGAAAACCAACAGGTGGAACTCTATTGATTCACAGTTGAGCCAGGATTTGCACGGCTTCCCAATATGCATAAACAGGGATTACAACCTACCTCACCTTTGTCTAAAACAGGATTCCGTAGTTCGAGCTCACTTATTTAAAGTAACCACAACACTTCCTGTACACATCAGCAGAGATCGCTATCTTAAAAATCAACAGACCTAAAGACTAAAAAGAGTAGAATCCGACAACTACGGCTTGCAGAAGGGAATGGGTGGAAGACTTCGGAGTGACTTTAGAAGGGCTGAAAAAACACATTTCTCCCAGGACTTGAAAGCAGCAGGCGCGCTTTTCACCCCCGCGATGTTTCTAAGATTTTAAAGTTCCTCCTTAAAATGTAACAACAGGCTACAAGGGAAGAAAGAAGAGAGAAAAAAAACCCACTCTAAATCCTTAAAGGCTCCGGCTTGCCTGCCAAGCGAACCCACGAGGAGCCCCAAGCAAGAGGCTTGTGTTTTTCTGTAGAAAAAAGTAAAAATAAAAACTTCCTCCGAAAAACTTTTCAATGGACATCCTGGTAATAGAGCGCACAAATCTCACGCGACCCCCAAAACCTCGCTGCATTTTAATTCCCCGTTTTTGCAACCTCGGAAGAGACCCCCGATTTCGCCCCTACAGCGAAGGGACCCGACCCATTGATTCCGGCCGCGTCCCCTTTCTGAACCGAATAGCCCGATTCTCGGTTTTGGGGAGTGGGGGGGACTTACCGGCGTGGGAAGCCTTGTCCTTCTTTGGCTCGGATGCCCGTTTGCCAAGTTCTTCCCTTCCGCCTTTCCCGGCCACCTTTTTGGAAGCGGGGATAGGCGGTTAGAAAGGAAGGGAGGGAAAAGAAAGCGAGCGAAGAAAGACACCGGGGAGACTCGGGCGGCTTCGAGTGCCGAAAAAAGTCAGTCGGCTTCTAACTTGGCACCGCCCTCGGCTCGGGGAAGCTGCTGCCTCTACAGGCCGATGGGAGGAAAAAAGGCGTTCCCTCCCCTCCCGATCGCCCGGCAGGACAGATGTGGAGGAAGGTAGCCTAGGAAAAGCGAGCGGAGCGGATGAGGTCGCCGCCTCTCTGCCGCACACACTGTCAAAACTTCGCACCATCTTCCTTGTCCCTTTGGGTGGCCAAGTGGTACAAGGAGTCCTTGATTTTTTTTAACAGTAATAGAGTTGGAAGGGACCTTGGAGGCCATCTAGTCCAACCCCCTGCTCATGCAGACCTATACTAGGGATTCGAACCCCCGACCTTTCTGAACGACAAGCTCAGCGTCTTAGCCACTGAGCCATCTAGCCATGGATTTGCAGCGGGTTCGTTTAGGGATGTTCAAATTTACAATGGCACTGGAAAAAAGGGAGTTGTGACCCTTTTTCAGACTTGCAACCGTTGGCCGCATCCCCGCGGTCATGCGATGTACCTTCGGATGCTTGACAATGGGTTCATATTTATGACGGTGGCCAGCGTCCCGGGGTCGTGTGATCCTCTTTTTGGGACATTCTGATGAGCAAAATCAAACGGGGAAAGCTGGATTCGTTCAACAACCATGTTACTAATGTGGGAAGTTAGCACCCACCCCTCTCCTAGGAAAATGAGATATTTTAGGAAATATTAAAAGGGGAGAATATTTCCCCTAAAAGGGTGGCAAAACTCTGCCCCCACTTTGTCAATGGGCCATTAAGACCTAGGCCAGTCTATTCTACATAACAAAGATCTATCTCCTTCAGGCAGAGCCATACTATGTTTCCCCGAAAATAAGACAGGGTCTTATTTTCTTTTGACCCCTGAAATAAGCGTTTAGCCTTATTTTCAGGGAGGTCTTATTATATTTGAGGTGCAGGAGGCGGCGAGCGTGGTCACCTCATGGCTGCTGCCATTGTAATATTTTCAGGGAGGGGTTATTTTCAGGGGAGGGGTTATTTTAGTGCACGCCCTCAAAAGCACAATTGGCCTTATTATCCAGGGAGGTCTTATTTTCAGGGAAACAGGATAGTAGGAATTGCCCAAAGCCCTTTCATTACATCATCACCCAGCAAGGCTCAACCAAGCTTGCGACTCAAAAAACAACCTACAAAGTTTCCCCTGTGTGGCCCCATGGGAGTCTGAGAACCAATCAGAATACAAGGTCAAATTCAGAAGCCCAGAGAGGGCATAAAACCAGGGACTCTTGGCATCTCTGCCCTTTTTCTTCACCCAAGATCTTCAAGGCATGTGACCCTGTTCATCAATAAACCTTCTTTTCAAGCAACTTCCGTGAATCCAGTGTCTTTTTCCCCACTTGGAACTGGACCCAGATGGTCATTTCTTCCAACACTAAATTAACGACTGCAGTGATTCACTTGACAAACGTGGCAAGGAAAGGAAAATCATAAAATGGGGCAAAACTCATTTCTCTCTTAGCACCATAAATTCTAGGCTCAGTTGTCGTAAATCAAGGACTACCTGTAAAAGAAAAAAAATGACCAGGTCTTGAGACCAGCTGTGTGATTCCTTTGGAAGGCTGGCAGAGAATTCTTTTAAGACTCCCAAATGGAAGGAACGGTGATCAGGAAGGTCACAGATCTCTTTAGATTCCTTGTCTAGCAGATCGGTTTATGTTGCATTTGACAAAGGCGTTGCTTTAATTAATATATTTCCCCACACATGCACACACACTCAGACACACTTGATGTTGGCTGCATCGCCTACCAAAACAGCTAAGATAGAACCCAAACCAGCTCTTCAGGCAATCAGACCGCACAAGGTATTTACTGATGTAGAAGACGGATAAGGAAATACATGCAGGCTCTGTGCCAAATTTTCTTTTTAATGACTCAATTTGAGTCCCTGACCTTCCCATGTTGCGTGGCAGGAACTGAAGCCGGTTACTATTAGTGGGGGGAGGGGGGAATATGTTGTTTTTTGCAGTTATATGCCCTGATAAAGCTGGGTCTCTGGACATGTAGTCAGTTCAGAGGTGGTATTCTGCAGGTTCTGACCACAGGTAGTGGAAATTTTGAGTAGTTCAGAGAACCGGTAAATATCACCTCTGACTGGCCCTGCCCTCATCTATTCTCTGCCTCCCAAGTCCCAGCTGATTGGGAAGGAATGGGGATTTTGCAGTAACCTTCCCTTGGAGTGGGATGAGAATGGAAATTTTACAATATCCTTCCCCTGTCACACTCACCAAGCCATGCCCAAAAAAACGGTAGTAAAAAAAAATTGAATCCCACCACTGAGTCACTTCAATTTGTCTTTGAGTGACCATAGCAAATTTAAGAATTTAATGAACACAACCAATCTGACATTTGAATACAGATAAATATTTTCTGGCTCGATTAATGTTGAACAGTCCAAATTTGGCTTTCATATACACTATATTGCCAAAAGTATTCGCTCACCCATCCAAATAATCAGAATCAGGTGTTCCAATCACTTCCNTGTCTGGAACGGTATAGGGTTTCCTGCCTAGGCAGGGGGTTGGACTAGAAGACCTCCAAGGTCCCTTCCAACTCTGCTATTGTATTTGTATTTATAAAACTAGACATCTCCCACCTTTTGGTGTCTACAAGATTTCTAGTTCCGTTAAGTCCTAACTGACATCAACAATGTCCATGTTGACCAATGAGTATGGAAGGTAAAATGTGATGCATCTGGAAAGCAGATAACCAGGATTACATAATCAGGATTCATCGCAAGAATAAGGAACTGGGTGGTGATAATAGTCATGTCATTTCATTCCCAATTGTGTCTTTATTCGGTTGTTTACAGGAATCCGAACAAGCCGATACTTTTTTTTTTTGCAGTTCATATTAATCCTCAGGATAGCATGATTGCAACTGCCTTGTGAGCCTTTGTGGGGAAACTGTCTTGAAATAGATGTGACGATTAAAACAAAAGATTTGCAAGATAGTACATGCTAAGGAAGTCAAGCTGATCGACTGTGCTGTGCGTGTATTACAGGGTGATAAAATGGTCACATTTTGCAAAGTACAGCAAGCAAGCTTGTCCTACCTGTCAACACATTACCCAAGATACAATCCCATATCCTATCGAGACGCTAGGATTCTACACTTTACATAATGAACAAGCTCGTCACGTTCAGTCAAGAGGTTAGTCACAAACTGCTCACATTTTATGCAAACTGACTGCTGTCATCTCGTCATCACAGGTTCTATCAAGGCACAAGTACTGAGATTGGCAGCAGACTTTAAAATAAGCTTTTTTTCTTCTTGTTGTCAACTGATGCTAGGTGTCCAAATAGCCATTTCTAACAGGGAGGGGAAGTGGGTGGCAGGAGAAAGAAAGAAAGAATTTATGAAAGAAGAGCTGGTGATCGCATTTATTATTGTTGGTTGCAAAGCTGGAGAGCCAGAAAAGTGTAGGTGCTTTAAATTAATATACAGATTGGAATTGAATCTATAGAAACCATAATCGATCATTTGGAATTGATAGAGGAATGGGGAAGGTGGAAATTGGTGAGACATGGGGTCACCTGGATAGATAGAACCAGACTGCTAGTCCTGATAACTAGACAAGCTTTTGAAGTAATATGCAAAAAAACTAACAACAGTGGATGATCAATGATCATTCAATGATAATTCTAGCTAGTTCTCAAAGCCAAAATTGTTCTAGAAATGTGCAGAAGAAGAACTGATATGAGCCTTTGGAAGTAGAAGATGATGCTTACAAACATTCAGCTAGTGACTTACAACTGGTCATACTGACGTCTATAGCAGCATCCCCACAGTGACATGATCAAAATTCAGGCACTTGACAATCAGCATGTATTTATAAGAGTTGCAGTGTCTCGGGGTGACATGATTGCCATTTGTGACCTTCCCAGTAGGTTTCCAATAAGCAAAGTCAATGTAGAAAGCCAGATTCGCATAATGAATCTGAAGAACTGCAGTGATTCATTTAACAACTGCAGCAACCAAGGTGGTAAGGTTGGGTGTGACTCACTTAACCACAACCTTGCTTAGCAACAGAAATACTAGTCCCTGTTGTCGTCATAAGTTGTGGACTAAGTGGTGGGTTCCTAACCGGCTAACCACCGGTTCACTGAGAGGGCATTTTGTGCACGTGCTGCTCGCTTCGCTCACATGCGCACTCGCCGGTTTGGGGGCATGGTAGGCCTGGGTCACTGCCAGTTCCAGCAACCCAGGCCACCATACTACTACTGGTTCGGCCGAACCAATCCAAACTGGTAGGAACCTACCACTGGACTAAGGTAAAGGTAAAGGTCCCCCTCGTGTTGCAACATATGAAAGTAAATTCTGGCTTTTCACTTTTCACTTTCTTTATCAAAGAAAGAATCAGAACCTAGCTTTGGAACCTGGATTCAGACTTTGGCTGAGCTATTCAAAAGTACCAAGTAGGTTTAATCTGTTTGTTCATTTTATTACGTCCACCGATGCAATCACACCTTTTATCAGCACACTGCTTATGCACAATAAACCAGAATCTTCAGCACTCCTGACTCATTAGTACCTCACAAGGAGTCAAATTATTATTGACGAGAAAGAAGTTTTTGTGGGCATCTCCATTTTCATTCCAGCCTGGCTCGGTTTAAAGAGAGCAATGTCTCATCAACACCCTGCTTCCCACACTGGGGCTTTTTTGTAGGCAATGTTTATAATCCTTCTGTTCCTATTTGTTTATTTAGTATATGTTCCCATCCCCCTTAAATAGTAGATGAAATCATTTCAAGGTTGAAATTGCAAATAACTGAATGTTTTAATTTTGAGGCAGATGGTCGAAATGGAATCAACAAATTAGCAACTGGTAGGAAAGAATGCAAAAGAGGGAAAACACCAATGAAATATTCATTCAGGTTTAAAGATATACTTCGGTTCTTGTATTTCTGATAAAGCAGCATTTCTATTGGTATTTAAATTATTGGAGATTTATTTTCTAATTCTTTATGAAAGGTTGGTTCCATTCGCACATATGTGC